CTAGACGGATTGGACTTGCCATCAACGCATCAAAGACAAAATATATGAAAGCAAGAGGTTCTAGGGAAGACAATGTTAGCCTCCCACCCCGAGTTCAGATTGACGGTGACGAAATCGAGGTGGTCGATGAGTTCGTGTATTTGGGCTCACTGGTGACCGCCGAAAATGATACCAGCAGAGAAATTCAAAGACGCATTATGGCAGGGAATCGTGCCTACTTTGGACTCCGGAGGACGCTCCGGTCGAATAAAATTCGCCGCCGCACGAAGTTGACTGTCTACAAGACGCTGATTAGACCGGTGGTCCTTTACGGCCACGAGACCTGGACTATGCTCGTGGAGGACCAACGCGCCCTTGGTGTTTTCGAACGGAAGGTGTTGCGTACCATCTACGGTGGAGTGCAGATGGATGACGGAACGTGGAGGAGGCGAATGAACCACGAATTGCACCAGCTGCTGGGAGAACCATCCATCGTCCACATTGCGAAAATTGGGCGACTACGGTGGGCTGGGCACGTCGTAAGAATGCCGCACGACGACCCAGTGAAAATGGTTCTAGAAAGCGACCCAACAGGAACAAGAAGAAGAGGCGCGCAGCGGGCAAGGTGGATCGACCAAGTAGAAGGTGACCTGCGGACCCTTCGCAGACTACGAGGCTGGCGAACTGTGGCCATGGATCGAGTAGAGTGGAGACGACTTCTTCGGACAGCAGAGGACAACAAGGCCTTAGCCTGATTGGTAAGGTAAGGTATGGAAACTCGAAACATGGAACTGCAAATCGCTCGGCTTTCCGGGCTGCGATATGTTAATCTATGACGAACTTCAACCTCGCAACTTCGAAGTCGTAGCACTGCAGGAACTTTGCTGGACGGGACAAAAGATATGGAAAAGCTGGCATCGAGCGGCTACTTTCTACCAGAGCTGTGGCACTACCAACGAGCTGGGAACCGGCTTTGTAGTGCTGGGTAAGATGCGCCAACGCGTGATTGGTTGGCAGCCGATCAACGCGAGGATGTGCAAGTTGAGGATTAAGGGCCGTTTCTTCAACTACAGCATCATCAACTTGCACTGCCCACACGAAAGGAGGCCCGACGACGAGAAAGAAGCATTCAATGCGCAGCTGAAGCAGGTGTACGACGGCTTTCGCAACGGGACGTCAAAATCGTCATCGGTGACATGAACGCTCAGGTAGGACGGGACCCAAGTAACATTGCAAGCTTTATAGAGGTTTTATAGCGTTCTACATATCTAAATTATGGTCTACAGAACCCTCATAAAACCAACATTGTTACTTGGGGAGGCAATGCATAGACCGGCAATCGGGCCAAACAGCCTGCATGCCGTATCGAACGACAACGGCCAACGATGCGTGAACTTTGCAGCCTCTCGGGGTATGGTCCGAAGTACCTTTTTCCCCCGCAAGGATATCAACAAAGCCACCTGGAGATCACCTGACCAACACACAGAAAACCAAATCGACCACGTTCTTATTTTCAACGTCCGCACGTACCGCAGTGCGAACATAGATTCGGACCACTACCTAGTTGCAGTATGCATGCGCTCAAACCTCTCGACGGTTCATAAAACCCGTCAAAGTCGAACGCCGCCACCCAACATTGAGCAATTACGGGACGCCGAAGTTGCCCAGGACTACTCACAGCAGCTGGAAGTTGCACTACCCACGGAAGAGCAGCTTGGCGCAGCTTCTCTTGAAGATGGCTGGAGGGACATCCGTTCCGCCATAGATAGTACTGCTGCAGCAGCACTAGGTACTGTGATCCCGGACCGAAGAAATGACTGGTTTGACGGCGAATGCAAACTAGAAGTAGAGGAGAAGAATGCAGCACGGGCGCGAATGCTGCAACACCGCACGAGATTGAATGTGGCGCGATACAGACAAGCGCGGAACAGACAAGCGCGGAACAGACAAGCGCGGAACAGACAAAACTCGGTTTTTCAAAGGAAGAAGCGTCAGCAAGAAGACCGAGTTCACGTAAAGGCTACGTGCAGCAAGCCGATACCTGCAAGGACTTGGACGGTAACCTTCTCACGAACGAGTGTGAGGTGGTTGAGAGGAGGAAGCACTACTATGACGAGCACCTCAACGGTGATGCAGCAGAAAACGAACGTGGCACGGCAACAGACCTTGGCGCACTCGTAGAAGACGACAGGCTACAGGCCCCTGATCTTCAAGAAGTTGAGGAGGAGATCGGTCGGCTGAAGAACAACAAAGCAACTGGTGTAGATCAACTACCAAGTGAGCTATTAAAATACGGTGGTGAAGCACTGGCTAGAGCGCTGCACTGGGTAATTGCCAAGATTTGGGAGGAGGAGATATTACCGGAGGAGTGGATGGAAGGTGTCGTATGTCCAATCTACAAAAAGGCCGACAAATTGGATTGCTGCAACTACCGCGCGATCACACTGTTGAGCGCCACCTACAAGGTACTCTCCCAAATTCTATGCCGGCGCCTGTCACCATTTGCAAAAGAGTTCGTAGGTAGTACGAGGCGGGATTTATGGGTGCCCGCGCTACAACGGACCAAATTTTCGCGATTCGGCAGCTTCTGCAGAAAAGCCACAAAAACAACGTGCCCACACATCATTTCAAATTCGCATACAACAGAATCGATCGAGATCAGCTATGGCAAACTACGCACGAATACGGATTTCCGGATAAACTGACGCGATTGGTCAAGGCGACGATGGATCGACTGTTGTGCGTTGTTCGAGTATCGGGGACACTCTCGAGTTCCTTTGAATCTCGAAAGGGATGGACTTTCGTGTCTGCTGTTCAACATCGCGTTAGAAGGTGTGATCAGAAGAGCTGGGATAGACACGAGTGGCACGATCTTCAGGAAGTCTATCCAGCTTCTTGGCTTCACCGATGACATTGACATCATGGCACGGAACTTTAAGACGATGGCGGAAACGTACATCAGACTGAAGGCTGAAGCCAGGCGGATTGGACTTGCCATCAACGCATCGAAGACAAAATACATGAAAGTAAGAGGTTCTAGGGAAGACAATGATAGCCTCCCACCCCGAGTTCAGATCGACGGTGACGAAATCGAGGTGGTTGACGAGTTCGTGTATTTGGGCTCACTGTTCAAAGACATTATGGCACGGGATCGTGCCTGCTTTGTACTCCGGAGGACGCTCCGGTTGAATAAAATTCGCCGCCGCACGAAGTTGACTGTCTACAAGACGCTGATTAGACCGGTGGTCCTCTACGACCACGAGACCTGAACTATGCTCGTGGAGGACCAACCCTTGGTGTTTTCGAACAGAAAACTACGGTAGGCTGGGCACGGCGACTACGGTGGGCAGGGCACGTCGTAAGAATGCCGCACGACGACCCAGTGAAAATGGTTCTAAAAAGCGACCGAACAGGAACAAGAAGAAGAGGCGCACAGCGGGCAAGGTGGAATATTGCGCTCAATGAAATATCGTGTAAATTTACGCCAAATTTAGCGTTAAAATATTTGCTTTGCGTGCGAAGTCTTCAAAACGTTTATATGCTTTAGCTACCTTGAAAATTCACCCAAGATGTTTTACAGGACTTTGATGGATCGTTCTCAAGCATTTCCTTAGGAACCATTTTCCTTCACAGAGTTCTTTTCAGAACTCAGAATACTTCAGTCACAATCGAATTGCATCAACTTATTTCGATGGAAGTGTGCTGCCTGGGTAGGGTGGGTCAAGTTGGTATGGTGGATCACAACCACCTATTCCCTACTACTTTTCCAATGCGTATTGAGGTCCCTAAGAACAGTGTCAAATTTGAACGAATTAAGTTATGATCTGGATTTGCGGGAGAATTTTTTAAGAGACTAACCAGCTAAAGGCCAAAACGAAAAATAAATTGCATAGAAAATATATGGGAAACGAAACAAACCTATTAATTTGCTTGCTAAAAAATCAAATATTACTCAAATTTAACCAAACCTCGGACATATATCAAACACTATGCAGAACAACTTTGTGCAAGACTGCAAATCGATTAGACTTCTGAGGCCCTCTATGAGCTTGTAGATACGTGTGGAACACTTAATCTTAAGTGAAATATGAATAGCTTTTAGTACAAAAATCAAATCGATTTATGATTTCCGACAAATATGTTTTGAATAGTATTCTCAATCTTAGTTCGAGACTTGATGAAATTTTGAGCAATATTTGGATTTTCGGGAAGGAAATTTATAGGATCGTCCCATTTCTCACACAAAAGTTAAAAAACTCCCGCACATCGAGATTATAACCAAATTCGTTCAAATTTTACACAGCTGCTGGGGACCTCAATACGAATTGAAAGAGCAAAATAGAACTAGATAACCACCATCTTCTTAATATCAAACAGTGCAATCAGAATGCTCTAAAATTTGGTGAAAGGTTAACATCTACATCAGGGTTCTGGGACATCTCTGTGTCACAGATCGTCTAAGTAAATCTTAGACTTATCAAACTTTGCTCAAGATGATGCAATCTTATTTGAATGTTACAAAATTGGCGTCAGTGAAAATTGATCCCAAGTATCCATCGAAAAATGATCCATTTATCAAGAAATGGAAGTCTATGGAAATCCACTAAATCCACCCTTCGTCACCATTTCGAACCGGACACACAAATCAAGTTGAGCTCCATCGCTTGAAAACATTTCATATAACACAATTACTTGGTATTTTGTTCATCCTGTCTGTGATTGTGAATCAGCTGGCTGCTGCAGGTCGTAAACACTATGACGATTCTTGAGAAATGATGTGATACCACAGCCTGTCCACCGTGCAGATCTCCTGTACCGTGTATTTACCTGTAACGAAATAGCAGAAAACAACAGAGAACTGAGGTGAGATTAATTATCTTCTGTTTATCTTGGCAACTGAAACTCGGAAAGATCAGCTATTGCATGACAACACAGCAGAAGAGAAAGATGACTGTCATATCTTATCTGTGATTAAGGCACTACTGTGTCAATGCTTATAATGGGATTACAGGGTATGTGGCTGTTATTGTTAAGCTTAGAAACTGAGGAAACAGATCTGTGAAGATATTATACTTATAAATTGGTCAAGTTCAACAGCCAAACAAGTCATTCAATAATCAACTTCGAACGAATTCACATCTAAACGAATTGGAGAAAGTGTACCAGCAATCATCTCACAGTCTAAGTTCCAGTCAAAGATCTCTCTACTATGGAAAACCTAATGAAGTTACTCGTTGTGCAGTTTATCGTGCTGGTGAGTCCCGAAACCTTCACCACCGTCAGTGTTGTAAGAATGGTGTCAATAATTAAAAGTGCATTTGCTCTCTCGCATTTCTTGTCCCGCAGATTGTTACGCTACGTACGGTGCGATCTCAAGCCATCGGCACGGATTGCATTGGGAGAGACTACCTCTGCTTAGACGACCGACGGTTTCAAATCTGCATCGACTTCGGTGAGGGGAAGACGCAAACCGTAGATGAAGAGGCCCAGTCCTGCCCATGGGGGACATTCTGCAGCAATGCGGGTCGATTCGAGTGTGACTCATCCGTTGCGCCAGCTACAACGGCAGCTCCACAGGTGGTTACCACCCCAGAACCAACCGAAATAAGTAGGTTTGCAATAAATGGGGTGGAATTTTAATTTATTAATCAATGATATTGTTTAGCTCCTGAGGATAATACAACGGAAGTCCCAAGCGAGCAACCTCAACCGGAAAGCTCAGTCGCGACGGAGGAAACTGCTACAGAATCGACCAGTGACAACCCAGAAATAACGACTGTTACCGTAGAGTCTCATCCAGATACTACGGTCAACTCAGAATCTACGGTTGTTCCAGAACTGACTACGTCGGAAGAACCGCAACCCAACTCTACGACTGCTCCCGAAGAGCCACAACCAGAATCTACAGTTGCATCAGAAGAGCCACAGGAAGTTGCTACCACCACCGAAGAATCTCATCCGGATACTACGGTCACCTCAGAAGAACCACAATCAACGATTGTTCCAGAGGCGAGCACCTCGGAAGAACCGCAACCCAACTCTACGGCTGCTCCCGAAGAGCCACAAGCAGAATCTACACTTGCACCGGAAGAGCCACAGGAAGTCACCACCACCACTGACGACTCTCATCCGGATACTACGATCAGCTCCAATGAACCACAATCTACAGCTGTTCCAGAGGTGACCACCTCAGAAGAACCGCAACCTGACTCTACGACTGCTTCCGAAGAGCCTCTGCCAGACTCTACAGTTGCATCAGAAGATCCACAGGAAGTTGCTACCACCACCGGAAAATCTCATCCGGATACTACGATCAGCTCCAATGAGCCACAATCTACAGCTGTTCCAGAGGTGACCACCTCAGAAGAACCGCAACCTGACTCTACGACTGCTTCCGAAGAGCCACTGCCAGACTCTACACTTACCCCGGAAGAGCCACAGGAAGTTTCTACCACCACTGAAGATAACGCTCAAGCCGAAACAACAGTGAGCAACGGTGAAGGAGAATCTCAACCGGAAACTACAGCTGCAAGCGAATCACAACCGGAAACGACAACTGATGCAGCAGGTGAAGCGACTACTGAAGAGCATGGTTCTGAAACTACTACTGATGCCGGTGAGGATGAATCATCCCCAGTCACAACAGCAGCTCCCGAAACAACAGTTGCTCCACAAACTACCAATAAACCGGAAGGCACAGCTGCGCCAGAAACGACAAGTGTTTCGGAAACTACAACTGAAGACATTGGCATAGAGGAAACAGCTGCTCCAGAAATTACTGATGCTTCGGAAGGTCCAGAAACTACCACCGATGCGGATGAACAATCCCCAACCTCTCCAGCTGCCCCAGAGACTACAAGTGCCTCGGAAACTACTGCTAACCCATCAGAAAACGGTTCGGAAACTGCAGCAACATCTGAAGCAGCTCCAGAAACCGTTGATCCTCAGGTAACCAACAATCCAACCGAAGGAACATCCAGTTCTACTTCGACTCCGGAAACCACGGAGGGTAACGTCAATTCTGAAGCTACCGAATCCGGTGGATCAAATACCGATCCAGAAGCCGGACAAACCCCAACAGAGTCTACAGCTGGCCCCAGCTCAACAGAGCCATCAACGACAACCTCCGCGCCCACAACCACCACCGAGCTGCCCTTCGTCTGCCAGCAATCAGGTCGTTTCCCGGATCCCCACGACTGCAGCAAGTACCATGTGTGCCTGTGGCTCCCCTTCGGTCTCTACCAACTGGAACAGAACTGCCTGCTTGGCATGGCCTACAATCCAATCCTGCAGCGATGCACTGCCGACCAAAGTCCATGCTTCCCCGGTCAGTTCACCTGTACGTCCCCGGGACGCTTTCCCGATGTCGCTGATAACACCAAGTACTTCTGGTGCGTGTGGAACGTTTTCGGAGGCTACCTGCAGTACCATCAGGAATGTCCACTGGGACAGACTTTCGATCCGTACCGTAGACGATGCGTTTCTCCACCAACACCTCAGCTAGTATCGAATGAAGACGATTCTGATTCCGGTCATGATGGATCAGATTCAGATTCAAGTTCAAATTCGGACTCGGTGAGTGAATCTGCGGACTCGGATCACTCGAAGGATACGGAGGAAGAGGAACCGGTCAAGGAGGTCAAATTCGACTGCACCGAAGAGGGAACATTCCCGGATCCGAACAACTGCTCCCGGTACTTTATCTGTACGCTCAAGAAGAAAGACAAGTTCAAGAAGAGCAAACTGAAGTGCCCGAAGGGACAGCAGTTCGATGTGGCCCTGCAGCTTTGTACGGATGATGTGGATGTGCTGTGCGGTTGAAGCATTTTGGATTAAGTTTTAAAATATCTACGCAATGTGATCACCGTTTCCAAATATAGCCGAATATAGCAATTTTATTTATTATCGTCAGCAAATTGGGTGTAGTTTCTTTTTCAAGACTTTAAAACCCGATAAATCCATTACATTTAGACTGGTCTGCATTGAACGTAAAACCTAGCCAACAGGTCTTCTTCAACAGTTCGTATCGCGTTCCATTCCAGCGACACAGGAAGTATCTGGTCGAATCCGAGGGATCCGGAAATTTTCCGGCCGATGTGCAGGTAAATGACGGCTGCTGCAGTTGACATTTGGTCTGATCCTGGGCACATCTTTGCGTCGTCGGATCGAAGACCATTCCGAACAGGCAGGTGCTTTCAATTTTAACGATACCAAACGGATACCACAGGCAGAGGTAGAACTCGTGACACTCGGATTCGTGTGGAAATCGACCAGATTTTTCACATGTAAATGGGCTTTCCGTAGTGGTGGTCATTGGCTGGGATGTTGTGGAAGGTTGTGCAGTCGTTGACGTCGTAGTACCGGCTTGGGTAGTTGTCGATGAGCTGCAGGCACTTGAGTCTGCATTGCTACAGAGTTGATTGACTGGACATGCGTTAACTGTTGTGTCAAAGGTTTGAGTTTGACCACTGGAGGATTGCGAGCAGGTTTGGAAACTTTGGGTGTCCAAACAGAGGAAGGTCTTTCCATTACAATCCGTGCCCACCGCCTGGGGTTGAACCACATGAAGTGCAGTCGTCTAGGGTGATACGAAAAATTAATGACGAATCCGCACATCAGCTGATGTTTACTTACCACAATGAGGAGTATCGCTACTAGATGGGCCATTTTAGACATACTTTGACTGTTCACAGTAGCTCGTGCGGTCGGAAACAGTTGATTCAGGGCCAGGGTTATTTAATTTATACCGAAATAGAGCGGTGGTATCTTTTGTTTCACTATGGAGCAGTTCCACGCGAAATGACGAATCGATTAGACTCGACCTTCTTTGAATTGTTTGGAACTTTTGCATCATTTGTTTGCTATGGGCAATCATTCACAGTTCTGCTAAAATTCGGCCATTTTGCATCTTGCCCTGCAAAAACAATTATGCAAAGTTTCATGCAAATCAGAGAATTTCAAAAATTCAACGTTTTTTGCTTTTTGACCTGGAGCAGCTCTTTGTCAGCTTATCAGAACGATCATAAAGTGGCATTGTTGTGGTATATGATTCTGCGCACTTATCATATTTCACAAGCGAGATTTTTACTGGTGGATTCGTCGGTTTCACGATAGTGACCACGGTGAGTAATCCGTAGTCAGCAGTTCAGACAATGCCTCGACACTTTAGATCTGGACGAATTTAAGTGAAACTAAACTGGGAAACTAAAATCTTGAGGTCCTGGACTTTTCAAACGAACGGGAAATCCATAAATTTTTAGGAAATTTCCTGAGCAAAAATTTAGTAGAATTTCTTGGGGAATTCCAACGGATCTTCATGAGGAACAACATAAGAGTGGATAAGAAAAAAAAAAAGATGAGGAGAATTCTATAACAATTTATAAAAATTCTACCAAGGCTTCTTAAAAGAGTTCAAAGTGTAATTTCGGTGGAATTTCACGAGGAACTTTTAGAATGATTTTTTGGGAAAATTCAGGGAGATTCCTGCGTAAACTCCGGTTGAGCCCCTGTTCCGATGGTTTTCTTGAAGGCGTTTTTGAAGCATTATACGGCAGCTTCCCATAAACCTCCGAAGTTTGGTGATCTTGCCGGGATGAACATGAAGTCGATTCTTTCCGATGCGGCGTTACTGGCTACTGCATTCTGGATGTTAGGTTAGGTTATCTTTATTAGCGAGACTTTCAGCCAGAGGCTGGTTCATCTCTTGCGTTCTGGAACTGCTTCAGCAATTTCCGTAGTTCTCGATTAGCTCCTACACAGTTCTTGGTGTTGTCGCACAGTCGTCTCGACGAGCAGTGAAGTGTTTCAGTGCTGCTAGAAATGCTTCTGTGGCGAGATCGGCGACAAGTTCAATTTGTACTGCCTTGGTGACGAGGCACACGAATATAGAAATATAGCACTTCACGGGAGGACTACGACATGAATGGTGGTGCTGGAGTTACTCTTCCCGGTGGAAGCTCGACCATCAACTGTTGTTGACATCGGGGATTGTTTCGGGAGCAGGTGATGCATTCGTGCAAGATTGCGGATGTTCGTGATCCAAAACCTTTCTCTTGGCTTGCGATCAGAACTTGTTGCCCGGAGTGAAGCATCTTCAAGTGGTAATGGTATCATCGGATGCTTCCGACTTTCCGAAATCGGGGCGGACGATGCCTTCATGGATCTGTGGATTCAACGATGATATCCTGGACGAATCTTGAAACTGCACCTCCCGGAACAAACTTGCTAAGAAGCACTCCTTTTGTGACAGTGGAACCAAGTGCTTGAGTGCATCTTCAAACTCCTGCGTTCCGATGTAACCGAATTTCCTGGAAGTTCGGTTAGCTATCTGGGCATTGTGGCGAAATCGACGAATCCAGACCCCTAGGCGAACTAGGCTTCGCTCGGTGATGAAGCTTATAGCGGCATGGAAACGGTGCTAGGTTCGTCAAGAACTGCTGGATCCAGCTGATCAATAGCTTCTTCAGCATTTTCGGGCCAGTTGCTTCTAGCTTGGTGTAGACATATGGGACCTCTGGTATTGAAGCTTTGTGGCGGATACACCTCTTGAGATAACGACGGCTCGGTTTTCTATTCCTGCTACACTCCTCCTTCTGAAAGATGCTGGATCTCGGACACTCTATTTGCAACAATAATCTGCCATCACGATAGAGTGGAAGCAATCCAAAATTTCACGATGTTGAACTTCGTCCAGAAATACGAGGGAACTGCCAGTTGAGTGCTACGATGCACCTTTTTGTATAGATGGCTGAGTAACAGAGGGGACGAGAGTTCTAGACGGGCATTGGCGTAGCTAAGGGGGGTGCCAGGGGGGCCAGGACCCTTCCAGAATTATCTAGGCCCCCTCCAGAATTATCTAGGCCCTCTCCAGAATTATCTAGACCCCCTCCAGAATTATCTAGGCCCCCTCCAGAATAATCAAGGCCCCCTCCAAATAAATTGTCTAGCTACGCTAATGTAGACGGGCGTAGACTGCTAGCGTTTCTTCTTCTTCAAATCCTCCAGCGGCGCTACTCTTGACTTCGAAATCAATAACTAGACTCAAATCCATCCATCAGCGTACGTACATTGAAGATACAAGTTATCAGAGGCGTCACAGAACCCATGCCATTCGATAGATGTGCATTGCTTGCTGTACTCAACCGATCGGAGAATGATAATGGATTCTAGGGCACTGAGATTCCTACGATACTTCAGCGAAAAGGTTTGCAAGTTTTTAGCGAGCGGCTCGTCCCAACTCATTTGCAGTTTCCATAACGTTTTGATGAAGATTTGTGGCTTCAAAGACGACAGGACCTATCAGTCCCAAAGGATCGAATAACTTGGACGCATCGGAGACGATGGTTCTCTCCGTAACGACTGGGGTGTGATTCCATGAGGAAACGGTGAATCAGAAGTTATAACTTGTCGGGCTCCAGAAAAGCCCCAAAATTTTGACGGAAGTGGACGTTGCAGGCGAATTCATGTCAAATACAACCCGTTCATCTCGTATGTAGATGTGATGGAAGCTCACACAGCAAAAAAATAATTTTGATATCACATCAAAGTGGATGCACTACAATCATGTCGAAAATTTCATGTAATTTTTATGACCACATAAATAAACAAATGCAGTAAAAGCAGCGTAATGTCAGTTCATGCATTGTATTAATGATAATTTTGTCCTTTTTAGCAAGTAATATTACACCATATTTTCGACATGATTGTAGTGCATCCACTTTGACGTGATATCAAAATTATTTTTTTGCTGTGCACTCAGAACTTCTTCGCTATTCCAATCCCAATTGCGCAAAGTGAATCCAGCTGAATTGGTCAGGTTGACTATTTCTTTGGCTAGCCTTCTACCTTCCTCAAGATCATCAACTCCAGTGATCATATCGTCAACGTAGAAATCTTTCCGCAGGATGTTCTCAGCGATTGGGTGAGTTGATTATCCATCTTCTGCTAACTATACCAAGCAACGAGTACTGTACCGTACCGTCCGTAACGGTCGTCAGTTGGAAAATCTCGATCGGTTCATCCGGGGATTTTTGCCACAGAATCAGGTGAAACTTCTGATGCGATGTAAATGCAACCGTGTGTGATTGGAGATGAGATCATCCTGGACTACAGGGCCAACCATCAACCCGTCGTTGAGCGAGAATCCCGATGTAGTTTTGCACAAAGCATCGAATACAACGCGCAGTTTCGTTGTTGTGCTACCCTGTGTCAACACAGTATGGTGCGACAGGAAATAGCACGCTAACTCGGACAGTGGTCATCCAATACTCCTCCGTGAACTCGCAAAACACCTCCTTCAACTGAGGATTGGTAACGAATCACCTCTCCAAGCTTGCAAATCGTTTCTCAGCGCTACGCTTTGAATCTCCCAAGCGTTCGTTCACAAGCATGTATTGCACATCCCAGAGGTAACCGAAAAGCCCGCTAATTTGGATTGATTTTGTTATATAAAGCTAACATACGACAAATACATGGCTTTTGCGCATTATTAGTCGGATTATTACTAAGCAAGCTTGTTGGTTAGTTGGGATTGCCCCCTCACTCTCTTTCCATCAGCATAATCGAAAATTTGATATTCAGAGTTGTGCTTTCACAAAATTAGTTTGTTCCATGTTCAATATATAATTATAATTTGCTACTTCAAGCAATCAAAAATTCCTCCATCCAAGCAGGATCATAATTCTAAATGTTCATTGGATAGCTTAACGTAGGAATTTATCCACCTCTTAAGCACATAATAGGGAACTAGAACTACAAGTATTCAGAATATATTTATATCTCTTAACTTTTTGCCCTTCTTTCTTTCTAAGAAGCTTATTTTTTTAACCGAACTAAACACAGCACCACTCAGAAACTCGCTAATCCACCTGGTGCATGAATTTTGTAACAAACTACTTAGAGATGTAAACGATTTTTTACCGTCCCTATGGATCCCACTTCAACACAGGGACGCCCCCAAAATCATCAAAATTCATTGATTTGCTGCTGCTTCTGCTTGCCACGCCGTCCGAAGCTTTAATGAGCGGAGGAACGACAGAAGAGCTATTATATAGTTTTACATGTTCAAGCAAAACGATGCGCAACCAAATGGTACTCGATTATGACGACTTGGTTTGGGAAGAACGTTTATTTCGTTGAAACAGTTATAAAATTATCACCTATTTTTTGTACATTTTCCAACGATTTTTTTTTTTTGAGAAAATTGGAAATACATTTATTGTAGCAGATTGTGAGAGTTATTTCCTATCGATTGGTGTATTTGGATTTTAATTTCATCTATAAATTACAAAGTTATAAGCGTTCAAAACCTTACACCTTTTCGTAACGGTCGCAATTTTAGATTTTCGATTTACCCCAAGTACCTTTCCGTAAGACGTAGTCTACGTCAAAACGATTAACTAGAAACTTCCAATGACATTTTTAAAAAACGTGCTCATAAAGTTTGATGAACCTCTCAGCGGAAGTAAAAAGAAGCTACTATAGAAGCCAGAAGAACTTCTGGAGGAAGCTTCCAATGAAATCAGATGAATATTTCAAAAAATCTAAGTCGTCAACAAATTTCTAAAAGATGTCGGAAGGAAAATCATTGGCAGCTCGGTAAAATTTTCCGATGAAAGTAAAAATATTAAAATTAAGTGGTTAAACTATTTACAAATACCCTCATCCATAAAAATATGAGTTTGGTAAAGGAATGCGAATTTGATTAGTATTTTTGCAATTACGGCTCATTGCTCAATTTCAACTTCTGTTTCATTTTCACACTGCCGTATTCTATGGGAACTATCAATCTATCCAGCTCCGAACTTTCTTCAGCTAATGAATTAATTAATTAGTATAACATTCCTCTCATTTTTGAAAATCGTTAACTTTACGTATGAAGTAGCAAAACACTTTGATTGAATGAAGAATAATATTTATTTCCGAAATAAATCGACACGAAATTTCAGGAATATTTTTCAACTCAATACTCAGCTCTAGACAACGCTGAAGATTTCCCACAAATCCAGCCCCATTGAACAGCAATGGCGTTCACTTGTTATAGCCACCTCGTCCTGGAGAAGCCATTCGCATTACTTGTACTCCAGCGCCACCCTGTCTAATGCCAAGCCATCCAGCACATCGTCCCTTTATCGGATCAAATGGCTGGCCGAAGGCGCAACTCATATGGTACATCGTAAAGCCAGAGCCGATCCTCAGACACCAGAAGTAGCTGCTGCTGTCCGAAGGATCCGGAAAACGTCCCGAAGATTGGCAGGAAAACTTCGATTGACAAGGGCTCTGATCGCTGGTGCAACGCTGCCCAACGGGATCGAACGCCATACCGAAGATACAGCTGGAATCCGTTTGACGCAACCCAGCCGTACAGGTATAGTATCGGTGACAATCGTTTCTATTGGGGAAACGGCCCGGCTTGGTGCAGGAGAAAGGGGCTTCCGTAGATGAAGGTAAATTTGTGGTGGTGGTACTGACTGGTGCTACAGTTGTCATCGTCGTTGGTCTTGTTTGAGAATCGCATTCCGATTGACCGGCATTGTCGCAGAACGAATCGGAAGGACACGGGTAGGCTAAATCGTCCACTGTTTGCGAATTGCCACCGGGAAGGTCTATGCAAACTTGGAACTGTTGATCGTTTAAGCAGTAATAGGTTTTACCGCTGCAGTCCGTTCCGGTTAACTGGGAATGAACGCTGTGAAACGTTGCGATCTGTGAAGGATGTACAGTTTAGGAAACGGCTGGAATTGTCTGGAACTTTGAGCTTACCAGGACCAAGGTCAGCTTCAAACAGGGGTTCCTTTGGAACTCCATTTTGTTGGAATGAATAACACTTTGTGAGACGTAAATGCAACTGGTGTGTCTATAAAGTGCAGCATACGAATGACTGAAGCAACCGGGGTTGATGGGCAATTTATATAGTAGTGGGAAACATTCGGGAGAGTAAACAGCATTATCTGACCGTGAGACTTATTCTAAACATTGCATGTTGACAGTCTAGCGCTTTGAATTACACAGTGGTGACATATTTTGGGGTTGGTGGAATTAGCCAAGGTTGGCTTGTTCAGCCTAAATAGTCTATTTACTGGCTTTGTGAGAGGAGTTTATTGGGCATTCGAGTAAACTCCCGGGGGTGGGGGGACGTGCTGTCAAATCATCCTACTGATCATTATTGTATGAAATTGGTTCCAAACGCAAACAAACCATGTAGGTTTATTAGGACTTGTTTGCGCTTGGAACCAGTTATACGCATTGGAGTAGCTAACGGGGCACAGTGGGACGAAATCAAAAAAAAGTGGGACATGGCCATTTGCGACGAAACAATTGAGTGTAGCATTTTGGTGTTTTATAGAATTTTTCTTAAATTTTTGAGTACTTTATTTGAGGGGTATTTTTTTTGCTTAAGGCGGGTATACACTAAGATAAAAATTATAACTTTTTTATGCCTTGTTAAAGTTGATGAACATATATGGAAACATTGTAGATGACATTATTTTAAGAAACTTTGTCGAAGTCAACAATTTTCTATCTCTCAACTGGACGATGTTTTAGGGTGAAAATAGAGTATAAACGGTAGTACCCCCTTAAAAACCGTTTTTTACCATAACTTTTTGGTTTGAATTTTTCATTTTTTTTTTCAATAAAGGGTTTCCCACATCAAATTGCATCACGGGAAAAAAACGCTGTAGAAAATGTCCCATTGGGTATTTTCTCTTGAAAATTTGGAAAGAAGTAGTTTATAGTGTATTGTTTACACTGTATTTTTATCGCTGTCAGTTTTTCGAAAGTTGGGAAAAATGGCGAAAAAATTATCTTTCGCAAGCAACTGGAGAATCCTCAATTCTCTCATCGGGATATCGGAAAATAACTCGGAATCGTACAGTCAACGGTGAGTCGTGTGAATCGAGCGAAAGGAGAAATGCGGTCAGAATGGATGTTCTATTTGTGATCAGGATCACAAACGTGTCGTGAAAGCGTTAAAGCGGAATCGCAATGCTTCGGTCAGGAATGTGGTCAAAAAGTTGAATCTGTCCAAGTCTTTTGTTCAGAGAGCCAAGGACCGGGAGGGACTGCATACGTGCAAAGTGCAGAAGGCTCCAAATCGTGACGAACGGCAAAATCCGGTGGGAAAGTCGCGGGTCTGGAAACTGAACACCGAAGCCTCCTCATTATCTCATCATGGATGATGAGACTTACGTCAAGGCGGAGTTCCGGCAGATTCCTGGGCTACTGTTCTTCACCGCCCAGCACAAGTTTGATGTTCCGGGGGAAGTGAGGAAGCAGAAACTTTCAAAGTTTGCCAAGAAATACATGATTTGGCAAGCGATCTGCTCATGTAGCAAATGGAGTGCGCTGTTCGTGACTACCGGGACTGTAAACGGGGAGATCTACCTCAAGGAGTATCTACAGAAGCGTCTGCTTCCTCTGTTGAAGCAACACGAGAGCTCTAAGATGTTCTGGCCGGATCTAGCTTCGTGCCACTATTCAAGGGATCACTTTCGTACCCAAGCGCACCGGAACTAAGGCCCATCGAAAAATACTGGGCTATTATAAAGCAGGCACTACGGAAGCATGCCAAGGAGGTCAAATCTGAGGAAGACATGAAGAAAAAGTTGGTTTCCGTACAGAAGAAGCTGCAGCCAGATGTTGTACAGAACCTAATGAGTGGAGTTGGATAAATATTCCAAAAGCATACACACTTAGATTAGTTTACCGAAATCTGTGAAATTTTACCGAAATCTCAACACTTGAACTTTTGGTAAACAGTTCGATGATTTTTGACGTAGGACTACGTCTGTGATTTCTATATGGGGGTGCACTTTGTGAAAACCGAAAATGGAACATGAAACAAAATTTTGAAAGATTTTGAACGTTAATAACTCAGCTGCCCCTGGTCCAATTTCAATAATTTTATCACCAATTGATCAGAAATATATCGATAACAATGAATCCGAATGTTGATTTCCAACAAGAAACTATTGAAAAATTGGTAAATGTCCAGCATTGTCCAAAAGCATCGAATTAAATAACAAATCCACCAATTACGTACATGCATATGCTGCTTCCCCAACACAGTTATCAGAGAATCATTCCTAGACGAAACATGTCGATGTAGCATTACGACGAGGTTCGGTAGCTCGGTGGTTACCGTTTCTGCTTACTGAGCAGAAGGTAGGGAGTTCGATCCCAGGTCTGTCCCCTTCCTTGCCATTTTTCACTTTGCCTTATTCTATCCCCACTAGATTTAAATAAAAACAAATTTTTCTGTAAACCGATCCCATCACTTATCACAGTGAATCCTGATTTAAAAATAACCTACATCACTAAAACAACTATCCTTCCCGAAACAGCTGTGGAGATGTAGAGGTATTCTCGGTCTCTAGGAACAACCGAACGTCGAACTAATCATCCTTCCCTCCCCAAAAGACCGTGAGGACGTGGCCGGCGCTGTGAATTGATCTATAGATTGAATTAATGTGCATGTACATTGAAGATGGAAAGCTTATCCCATGCACCATCTATGTAGTTCTCTGTGCAAGTGGATTAGTTCTGATCATTCATGGAGGAGCAACTACGAAGTGTACGGTCAGATAACGTTAACTTGTGGATGATAGAAGAGCATAGCAGAAGTAGTGCGAAATAGGAAACCATGGTGGTTTAAAGATTTATGGGAATTACTGCAAACGTAAGGCTGGGTGCATAATCTTAAAATACTCATTTAATATACGTTTCAGTGACTGTATGGTGTTCAAAAGCATGATAAATTCTAAATTGTATGCTTTTAATAACGCAGTCGTATCTAGCCTAGGCTATTTATCTGAGGCCCCACTAGCGCAGTTTGCTTCACGATGTGTCCGAAGTGGCAGAAAAATTAAAATAAGGTGCTAACAGTCCTTTCTCGATTGGCTTTAAAATATTATATATATTATTTATATTATTTGCATTAGCGCAAGTATTTCAACAACAATTGTAATTAATCCCGTTGGCAATTAAATGTTTGCGACAAGATTAGTGAAAAAGTTTTGCTTTTATGTTTTTTGCACATAGAACGGAAACGGGCGCCATACGATGAAGTAGGGTGGAGTCTTATTTGAATTAATTCATTTTATCATAATTTCCTACATAAATATAAGGGAACGACTCTAAAGAACTAAAACCTCCCTTTGTAGAATTGCTAAAAAATCAATAGAATATTTTTTTATAACCAATCGATTTGCGAATTTAAGCATCTCAACTTACTTTAAGTGATTATAAACTTAGTTACAAACTCTAGGTCCCTGAATATTTGATAATCCACCACGCCACACTTAGTGAAGTAAACTATCGATATTCATAAGATTGCCTTTTGCTTTTTAGCTAGCAAAAAAGGGTATGAATTTAATTAATTTGTTTTATGAAAAATAATATTTAATGCTAAAAAATTAAAAAAAAAACGCAACTCCCGGACTGGAATCGAAACAACGACGCTAAGTTTAAGGGCCCGTGTCATAACCACTCGTCTGTTAACGAATGGAAAATGAACAATGCTAAAGGCGTATAAAATCTTCCTCGTATGCTAGCTAACCTACAGCGCTACAGCTATAAAAAATTCACACTCTTGGAGAAGCAAAAGAGAGAAAGAATGAGGTGAAACACCGTTGGAGCGGCAGCTCTCCAACATAAGAAAAATGAAATGTGCTGCACGATCTAAAATTCTCTTTCACGTCTCTTTGAAAATGATAGTGCTGTCTCGCAACAGCGTGTGTTTTACTCACAGAAAATTGAGCAGCACCCGATTCCTGAAGACGAGTCCATTAGATTTGATAATCAAAGTAAACCGGACTTGTGAGAAGAATCCACCGGACTCGAAACGAGTCCACCGGAGTTTTTTCTTTCCTTTATTTGTTTTCCGTCGATATTGTATTCCGTACTGAGTACCAATGCTACCGACGCCAGAAAGGCAGCTCCCAAACCTGGTCCCTACTTATCGACCTATCAACCCATCAAACTCATGGACCGGGGACCAATGGCTTAACTCTCCTTCCGAAGGAAGGCGTGATCAGAGAATTTATGCCTCAGAAAATCCCGACGGCACCGATTGGGATTGAACCAAGGGCCTTTGTCTACCGGACGTGTAGCATAAGTATCACTTAACTGTTCATCAGTATTGAGAGTCTTTCAAGTGATGCCCGGAACTTAATACATTTCAATTCGTAACGGCTTTATTGTCATAAATAAACTCCCATCATCATACAATTACCCATCACCATAACCGTAGCACCACGTACAGTGGAAACCTACTGTTCCGACGATTCTGATGACGAAGATGAAGATGAATCATCCGACGAATCGGAGTCAGTCGACCCATCTCCAGCTTTCGAATATCTGCACTGTTCAACGTCGGCATAGAATTGCTGACCGCTGGGGCAGTTCATCGCGTACAGCTGGTAGTCCGGTCCGTTTCTCAGGCACCAGAAGTACCTGCGGGCGTCCGACGGATCGGTGAACTTTCCAACAGTGGTACAAGCGAACGGCTGCTCCCATTGGCAAGTGCTTTGATCGGGGACGCAACGCTGCGTAACCGGATCGTAGGCCATGTTATAAAAACAGGTCATCTCCGCCGTGTACAGACCATCCGGCAGTAGTAAACAGTTGTAGTACTTGTGACAGTCGGTTTCATGTCGGTAACGTCCCGGGGCATCGCAGACGAAGGGCTTTATCGTAGTTGAGATTTGCTCGGTGGTGGTCTCCGAATCTGTATCAGAAGTGGTGGTTGAAACTTGGGTGGTCGAAGCTTCCAAGAAACTAGTTGACTCGGTAGTTGTTGCCGAGGC